CCCCCGTAGAAAAACATTAGTTTTGAGTGTATCTCTTTTCTTTGTCCTTGAGATGGCCTCCAGGGGTGATAAAGTGAGAGTCATATGATCCACCTTGGGTGGAACTGGAAATGGTTCTTAACAGACCCAGCTGTTTCTGAAAGGCAAACGCCTGGTACAGCGAGAGGTCAAAGAAACGGTAACTGCTGAAATAGCCAAGGCACGGAGGAGGAGTATTTCCAGCAGAACCTTGGTATAGAACTGCATTTCCCCCCAAATGATTCAATACCGAATGCTGTTATACTTAGTGAGTGCTGTGGTGTCACTGCTGTAACTCAGTGTTGTCCGCCACCTTTACTGTTCTTCTCCGTAAAAGTTTTTTATTTTGTTCCCAGACTACAGAGAACAGCTTGGTTGAGACTGGCACGCGGTTCCTTTACAGCCTCTTTCCAGATCAATAATTATTTCATTTCCAGCTACAGGGGTTACGATCAGGTTATATAAACTCTTGCTGGTTCAGGCTCACTGTCACCCTACCAAGCAGGCAGCTGGGGAATCCCGTGAAAACCCCACAGCATGGGAAGCCCAAATGCAAACCGTGTACAAGGTGAGCACAGTAACTGCCCCACTTCCCCTCAAACAAATTACCAACATCTTTTTCCAGTCAGACTGCAGAGTACAAAACCATTTTTATTAATTAAGAACTCCCAATGCTTGAATGCGTACACGTTGAACCACAAACTGGAGCATGTTTATCATTTTGGTTCTTTTTAGTTGTAAAAATCAGTTTTATCTGTTTGAGTAACAGCCCTTTGCTGTGGTAGAAAGGACAGTCAATCGGGTGTGTTTATGCTGAACTTTTTTTGGGAGAAAAAAAAATAAAATTAAGCTGTGCTCTTTCAACCTGCACCTCACTCAAGGATTTGAGAGGTGGAGTATTGATGAGGTGAAGTTGAGGATAAAGAAAAAGAGAAGAAACTGGTTTCTAACAACTCTCCTCACACATCATTTAATATCAAAACTAAACTGTTGACCTAAAAATCAAATGTCACTAGAGCCAGGTGGTTTAACACTTTGGAGCTGATGCCTTTATGCCACATGTCTTGGGTTGACTAGAGGAAACATCATCGTAGGTGACAAACAGATCCCTCAGCCACAGCCAGGGAAAGGGTTTGTGACCAACTGAAACACGTTCAGTGCTCAGAATCAATTCCTTGTGCAACAGAGCTTCCTCCAGCTTTGAGCTCAGTCGCCTGTAGAAATAAGTTGTGAATTTTTAGGTGGGCTGGTGCAAAACTAGATGTCTTCATTTAAATCAGGCTGGGGGGGTTGGTGATAAATTGATTAAAGGAGTGTGTGCACACACCCCCCCTGCCCCACCCTGGCTGGAAGCAGCCGTTTCCCACTGGGCTCCAAAGTTCATCTCAACATGGTTTCTTCTCACCCAGTTCTTGGAGGGAGGGCTAGAGTGAGGGTTGGTTTTGGTTTTAACAAAAACCAAGGCAGCCTAATTATCTATTTGCAGTAAGAACATAGAGAAAATACAGTTCTTCTCCCTGCAGCAGCAACCCTAAATCAGTGTTTTGTCCACAGGCTTGCATAAACCCAGCATGATGTATTATTTACATTGAGATTATCTGGTTGTGCACATTGTTAAGTTTAAATAGATGCCAGAAATTTTATCTAGATGTGCACCTGCCTAGCACAACGAGCAATCCCAAAGTGGTATTTGCTGGGGAGATAGGTTTACACTCATTTCTTCTCTCCTTTTAAGTACAGTCAAGCAGATGTAGAACTTGGGGTTGATGTGGAATGCATTTTTCACATAATGCCTGTGTGGAGAGAAGGAATGACTAAAATAAATAGCAATTAGACAACAGCATCATCATTCATGTGATCTGTTCAGAATGAGATGTCTGTCCTCGGCCAGTACAAGCCTCACTACACGAGAAAAATATATACACACACACACACACACACACACACATATCCTAAGGCAAGGCAGAGCAGCAGACGGTCTCCTCTGAACTGCAGTAACAGTGGAAGATGTTTTAAGGAAATACTGATAAAATGCTTTTTTTTTGAGTTGAGAAATAATTGCTAAAAGATCATTTATCTTGATCACAACTATATTTTTTTAATTAAGAAAGCTTTAAACAGTAAGAAAGCTTTAGAGTGTTGTCATTAAACAGTAAGAAAGGCTTTACAGTGTTGGTCGCACTTGGGAAGGGATAGAGAGAACCAGAGAAAGCAAATATGGCCTTTTTTTTTTTTTTTTTGACCTAAGGTGCAGAACCAGTGTTTGCTGATGAGACAGCACTGTCCTTGGACAGAAACTAACAGTGGAGATGTGAGCGGTCATTGAGCTGACATCAACCTGAAGGCCTGTAGTTGGCAGCGTGAGTTTCCTTCAAGCTAATGAGTGTAAGACTTAAACTGGTTATTGCCCCGTAGAAAGGTCGCTCTCTGCATTCTGTAGCACTCAGAAATTATGCTGAGGGGAGAAAATGGAGGAAACGGAGCTAGTTCTGCTCTCCTGCCCTGGTTCCCATCCCTCCATCACGCTGCCTTTGGGGTGGTAGCTGGGTTGGAAGCAGTGAGTGATGGACGAGGCTCTGGCAGAAGCAGCTAATAAGTGTTAGGGCAGGAGCAGCTCCTGGACAAGCAGGGTTTTAAAGGGTTTTTTTTGCTACTAGGTAACTTGCCGTTACAAAATAAAGTTTAACCCTCATTGAGAAGCAAAAGGCTAAGCTCACCCCAACTCTGTTACACGCCCTGGAAAACCTGTACATCTACTTTGCCTAACTCCTGAAGTACAAGAAATGGAATACTTTGACTCTGCAAGGAGAGATGTTCTCCCTCGCTGCAGGGAGCTGATACAATCTGCAGGTAGTGGCATCTTTAGATATTTTGTCTCAAGAGGCTTTAAGAAACAGATGAGCCACCAGTTTTCTCATGCCCAGGTAACATCTGATAGACAAGGTCCCTCGCTAACTGGGCTTCTCCTTACCACGCTGGAACAAAGAGGAGTAGCCAGAGGAGGAAGAATTAACCCCAACAACACGTCTCAAGGTGTCTGTTACTATGTTGTTTCCTGCTTTCTGCTCTGGGGGCCGGTGCGGTGGCAGGGAGTGCGGGGTGCCCGTGCGGAGGTGGCAGGGGAGCAGGTGCCCGCCGCAGCCCCGTCCCCTCCGCTCCCCCTGCCAGGAACCAGGCAAGGCTGGAGCCCGCGCGGGGACACGCTCCCCCTGCCCCCAGCAGCAGCACAGCGGGGCTGTGGTACGCAGCCTCTGCAGGGGGTCCCAGGGCATCAGTCGTGGGTCTGCACGAGCAGAGGCACACAGGTGTCTTTGCTTGCTTGAAAAAACAGCAAGTTGGAAACCAACAGCGTTGATGAGGAGAAACACTATCTGATGTTTTAGAGGGGGATGGAGTTTTTGCAGATTCAATGTCCTTTTGCTTAACAAACCAGTAACAAATACCCCAGAGTAACAACTGCGGAGTAACAACTGTTTTCCCATCAAGCCATTGCAGGCTGGTCTGCAGGCTCATATGGTCGATCACTCTGCAAACAGAATTATCACAGAATCACTCAGGTTGGACAAGCCTCTTGGGATCATTGAGTCCAACCCTCAGCCCCACTCTACCAAGTTCTCCCCTACCCCACATCCCCCACAGCTCATCCCAAGGGCCCTGAAACCCCCCAGGGATGGGGACTCCCCCCTCCCTGGGCAGCCTGTTCCACTCTCGGACCACTCTTGCTGGGAAACATTTTCTCCTCCTGCCCAGCCTGACCCTCCCCTGGGGCAGTTTCCAGCCGTTCCCTCTTGTCCTGTCCCTGATCCCCTGGGAGCAGAGCCCAGCCCCAGCCTCTCTGCAATGTCCTGTCAGGAGCTGCAGAGAGGGATGAGGGCTCCCCTCAGCCTCCTCCTCCTCACCCTGAACACTCCCAGCTCCTTCCCTGGCTCCTCACAGGATTGATTATCCAGCCATTCTCCAGCCCTTCCCCAGCCTCGTTGCCCTCCTCTGCCCTCGCTCCAGCCCCTGGAGGTCTCTCTTGTATTGAGGTGCCCAAACCTGGACACGATACTCAAGGTGTGACCTCACCAGTGCAGAGTATTAAGTCCCTCCATCCTTACGGTGATCCTGCACGTGGGGGTGTGGAGAAGGCAGGGGGCAGACGAGGGGCTACTCACCTCAGTCAAGTAGCGATGCCAGGAACGTGGAGCTGCTGGAGGTCTGAACATACTCTGTGGAGGAGGAAAATCGGTTCTGATCAACAGAATAACGATGTTATTGCACAATTTGTGAAAATCCCTGCACAAATAGGAGTTAAGGAAGTCACTGCAGTGGTTAACAAAACCCTTTCTACTTCATACAGTTCCTGTATCTGTCTCAGCAGTCGTTTAGGAGATTGTCTTAATTACTTGTGAGTGTATGTGCATATGCTACCTCATTACCAATGATGACAAAGCAAAACAATGTTATGAGTATTAGAAGCTGGTCCTTCTTTTTAGTAATAAAAGAAGAAATAAAAATCCACAGGGATCATAGCAGATGCAGCAGGATCCAGGACTGTGTGAGAGGAACAACCCTCACCTGAGTTCCCCAAAGGGATGGCAAAAGGAGAGGCACCCTGAGCCAGGGAGAAGGGCTGGGCAGGTGGTGGAAGAGGTAGAGGAGAAGTGTGGAGGAGCAGAAGGGAGCAAGAACATACGGGGAAAGGGTCTGGAAGCAGACACAGCTGAGCACTGAGACTGCCCAACAACTCTCTGCAGCCAATGAGTGGCTCTGCTTACAGAATCCCAGAATCATCTGGGTTGGAAAAAGCCCTTGAAGCTCCTCCAGCCCAACCATGACCCTCCCCTGGGGCAGTTTCCAGCCGTTCCCTCTTGTCCTGTCCCTGATCCCCTGGGAGCAGAGCCCAGCCCCAGCCTCTCTGCAATGTCCTGTCAGGAGCTGCAGAGAGGGATGAGGGCTCCCCTCAGCCTCCTCCTCCTCACCCTGAACACTCCCAGCTCCTTCCCTGGCTCCTCACAGGATTGATTATCCAGCCATTCTCCAGCCCTTCCCCAGCCTCG